CGGCACTGGGGTAAATGAAAATGAATTAAATTCAAATAGTTGGTATTACTAAAAATCATTTTCAATGTATTATTATTGGTTGATGAGTGATAGTTGGTATTAATTAAAGTTATTTTCCTCCCAAATAATATTAGTGAATCTTTTTGTAGGAAACATTTCCGTTAAAAAAACCACTTTTACAAATAACAAATATCTTGTACGAACAAAAATGTTTAACATGTGGTTTAAAATTACATTTTTGTATTCATATTTTAAAAATCTTTCCCACCATTTTTTTGTTTTTAAAGTTAGATACAAAAAAAAAATACCGGTCGAAAATATTAACTTTTGCAAATAATAAATGTGTTCACGAAAAGTGTACATTTTTTACCCGACAAAACCTTTTCATCTATGCCATAAAATTTATTCACTAATTTTAGATGCATCTGATGGACATTTTTTGTATATGAACTAACTTTACAGACAGGGATTATACATGTAAATTAATTTGAAATTTTGAATCTTAAAAAGAACAATTTTTTGTATGTGGACTAATTTTAAAAAGTACTCCCTCCGTCCCCTTTTAAATGGGACGGGAGATGATGGCACGAGTTTTAAGAAAAGTGAGTTTGTGTGGTTGATATTAATTGATAAAGTAAGAATAAAGTAAGAATGATTTTGAGCCACACAAAGTTTACCAAATAAGGTATGGGGCAATTAAATAGGGACATCCCAATATGATAAAACGGGACATTTAAAAGGGGACGGAGGGAGTACAATTTTAAATTTTTGCCTAATCTCAGATACTTTTGTGAGTATATATGAATATTGAATATACAGGGACAAGATTGAGAGATTCGATTTGGAAAATAATTAAGCAACTAAAACAATAACTTCTCCTATAAAAAATATTTTATGTCGGACTCCCATCCAAGTCAATTGCTTCCTATAGCTAGCGCGCAATATTTTTCCTAAGTAACGGTAATGTGGTTCCTGGATTCATATTCTGGAAAACCTCTATGATGAAAACACTAAATTCAATTTGAATTGAATTATAAAAACATTTGATAAAAAGTACTAAAAGTAAGAATAATTTACTCCCTACATCCGTCAAAGATTTTCCATTTCGCTTTTCGAGTTAACTTAAATCACTTTCAATCTTTTACTTTATATATCAAAATTTTATAAAAATTGAATTATTTTTTGAAGACTTTGTAGTGTAGTTTCTGAATATGTAAAAAATCTGCATATTTTTTTAGTAAATATGTAGATTATTTACTAAAAATAATCTGAGTTTTCACATGGATGATTTAAACGTATTGCTGGTCAAACTTCGTAGCCGACAATCGGAAGATCTTTTTTAGGGACGGAGGTAATAGTATTTTTTAAATGAAAACTTATCAAAAAGTAAAGATGTAGCAAACAAAGAATACTGGGAGTATACATTTATTTATTTTATTTTATTTTATTTTTTTATCAAAAAGTGAAAATGTAGCAAATAAAGAATACAAATAGTATATTTTATGAAAAGTCATAAAAATAGAAAAAGAATTTTAGATCTATCTTCTTCTGAGATTTATTATATTTAAATATGAGAAGTAAAGTAAAAAAAGGAAGAGAAATTTGTAGATTCTAGTGAAAGGCAAAAAAATAAAAAGAAGGGAAAATGTGCAAATATGCCCATGTACTAACAAAAAAAGGTCAAATAAGCCCTTATTTAGGAGGCTCTGTCCGGCCGTCGCCATTTGGGGTGGTTCCCAGTGGAATTTTTTGATGAAATTTTTTGACCATCTTATTCATTAAGTCTAATTTACTCATATTAAATTTCAGCTAAAACTTCAATCGGGAAGGCATTCAAATGAATTCTTGAAAATAATTGCACAGTTAGAAGCACAGTTATCTTCAAGGATTCATTTGAATGCCTTCCTGATTGAAGTTTTAGCTGAAATTTGGTATGCGTAAACTAGACTTGATGAATAAGATGCTCAAAAAATTTCATCAACAAATTCCACCGGGAACCATCCCAAATGACGACGACCGGACAGAGCTTCCTAAATAAGGGCTTATTTGACCTTTTTTTTATTAGTACATGAGTCTATTTGCACCTTTTCCCTGAAAAGAAAGAAGAGGAATACAAAAGAAAGAAAATTGGGTGGGACTCACGTGAACCACCCATTATACTGAACTCCGTATCAAGTACTCCCTCCGTCCCCTTTTAAATGTCCCGTTTTACCATATTGAGATATCCCTATTTAATTGTCCCATACCTTATTTGGTAAACTTTGTGTGGCTCAAAATCATTCTTACTTTATTCTTACTTTATCAATTAATATCAACCACACAAACTCACTTTTCTTAAAACCCGTGCCACCATCTCCCGTCCCATTTAAAAGGGGACGGAGGGAGTACTCCGTATGTAAGGTACGGACACAAAGCATAAAAGAAAATGAAAAAAAGTAAATAAAAAAGGGAAGCATAGAAATGACCTGCAATAGAAAGTGCTCATCGGGCACTTGACTCATTTCATCTTTTTTTAATAGTATGTGTATTTATTTAATGCTTTTTCAAGTAAGAGGGTTGAAGTGATGTTTTTGGCATAATAAGAGGGTGTATATGACCCTTTTTCATTTAAATAAGTATGAAAATACTACAATTTTTAATGGAATTATATACTCCATCCGTCCTCTTTTAAATGTCCCGGAAGAGGGTGACACGAGTTTTAAGAAAATTGAATTTGTGAGGTTGACATTAATTGATAAAGTAAGAAAAAGTAAGAATAAAGTAAGAATGATTTCGAGTCACACAAACTTTATCAAATAAGGTATGTGATAATTAAATAGGGACATCTCAATATAGTAAAACGGGACATTTAAAAGGAGACGGAGGGAGTATGTAATTATTTCATTTTTAATTTGAAATGTATTTATTATTTATGTGAAATTAACATTTTTCACATCAGAAGGCGTTATGTTTTCTTATCAAGATGCCTTCTCACGAGAAATGAGCAAGGGATTCACCGGAGAGTGGGCAGCCGCTCGTCGAAGGATGGCACCGGCGAAGTCACCAAATGGTCGAGACGGTCATGCTGGAGTGTGGCGAATCGGAGGTGGGGGGGCTCCATTAGTGTTGAGAATAGCCAGTAGGCTATGGTCTTGGGAAAGCTTTTTTTAATTATTATATGGAATTCAAATTTCATTAAAGATGATTTTGTCAAATGAGTACAAAGATTTTTACTACTACGGAATCAAATAGAGAGGTGCCACATACGAGAGGTCTCAATTCTACTTCAAATAGGCATGGACCGGTCCCGGGCCGGTCCGGGCTTTTTGGATTTGGCTACGGGCCTGGAACCGGCCCAGGATTCCACCGGGTCCGGTCGGGGCCGGTCCCCGAGCCTGTTCAATTTTTTTTTTCTTTTTGCTTTTCTAATTAACCCTCCCCTTTCCCCAAAACACCCAGCCCAACCCGGGAAAAACAAAAAACATTGAAAAAACAAAAAACAAAAAGAGGCCCGGACCGGCCCGGCCGGTACCAAAGGACAGGGTAGCCCGGAACCGCCCACCACCCCCCGGGCCGATCGAAACCGGGCCATCACAAGGCCGCAACCTCCCCTCTCTCCACTCGTATATATAGTCAAACCTCAATTCACATTCATTTTCACATAAGTGTCTCATCGATTCAAGACTCTAAGACCTTGTTTTGTTCAAAGGAGGGAAGGGAAGGAGAAAGTAAGGAGGGAAGGAAAGGGAAGGAGAATGAAGGGAGAGTTTTGATAACAATTTATGTTTGGATAGAGGATAGAGGATAGAGGAAGAAAGGTTTAATGAAAATATTTTTCCAATGCAATTTACCTTTATTGGATAGCTTACTTAAAAAAATAGATTCATCTCTAACTTGTGAATATTACTCCTAAGGTCATGAGTCATAATTTTTTTTTTGAATTTTTTATTTTTGCTTTTTAAATTTTTTATTTTTGATTTTTTATTTTTTATTTATATTTTTGAATTTTGCAATTATTTATTTTTGATTTTCAATTTTTTATTTTTTATTTTTTAGATTTTTTACTTTTTAAAATTTTAATTTCTTTAATTTTATAATTTTTTATGTGACACCGCACCCGAGCGTCCTTGAAAATTCAATTTAAACATTCAAAGTTTATGTATTGAATTTCTGATTCCCAAACAATTGTAAAACGATTGATGTTTTACGTAATTAATGATCGATTATTATACTGTTCGAACTCGTATATTAGCGTCGGGCTTGCGAATACTCGTTTGGGCCTTATTAATAAATAAAAGAGCCTAACATTATCTAAATAGTGATACATAACGTGTCAAGACAAGTTGAGGAAGGGCGGGCGGCCCAGATATTATTTTGGGCTCAACCCGCTAAAATAGCAAGTATTCGAGAATGGCGTCGTAGGCCCACTCAGGGGTGACCCACACGGCTATTTGTCCAATAATATGGATGACAAATGTTGAAATAAGTGATAGGATGATTTGAGATGAATGCAAATGCCTATGATCCCATCTTTGACATCATTGAGCTAAATAATGGGAGTAGGACTTTTTCCTTCTATAATATCCATCAAGTAAATTATTGAGATGAGCCTACACATATTGGAGATCAATAATGTGATGTAGGAAGTTGACTTGTTCTAAATAAATTAGGATGAGTACAAAAAGACATCTTTTGACAAAAGATAAAACAATAGGACCCATTTTCCCATTTTTGGAAGTATTGGTAGATATTTTGGACCCCAAGTTGAATGGATCAATTGGGAACCATTACACATGGACTTGGTACCTGCAAAACAAAGGAAAAGAGGTGAGATGACCATATGGGGCGGACTCTTGGCTCATGCACAAAAAACTCGAAGAAAAACAAAAGGGGGAGGTCCACCCCATATTTGATTGCAAACCAAATATCTCCCATGCTCTTTTGTAAGCCACATGCTCTCTTAGCATGTTTAAGGTCTCCTATACACTACCCCCTACACCCCATTCAAACCCCAAAGAGATAAGAGAGCAAAAGCATCCACACAACCCAAGAGAGAAGGAAGGAAGAGAGCAGTCCGCAGGTTCGTTCTTCAGTGTGTAGTGCTGATTGTTTGAGCCATAACTTGAGATTGACTCGTCCAATTAAGGCGTATAAGGTACCAAAAGAAAGCTCTCAAGACGAGGAATCTGTGAAGGTCTGGTTTGCATCAATCGGAGTAGTGGAAGGCTTCCAAATCGTCCGAGCAAAACACAACCTTGCAGGAACGGATTTACTCTCCTAAAGTGAGTAATCACCCAAAACCTTTACTTTTCATTTTCCAAATGATATGAACGATTGGTGGAACTATTGTACACTAATCCAAGTGTATAATATGTCCTTGTAAAGTTATTTTATTGTTTTAAAGGTTAGATACTAACCTAGAGTAAATCTTGGAAAACTAGGAGACGAGTTAACCGGAAAACACCCATTCTAGGGGCTGTTTTCGTATCAACGTTTGAGGGTTGAGCTAGCACTTTGAGGAGGCTGATTTACACTCATATTTAAGCAAGAAATCAGTTCTTAATCCACCTTGGCCAAATCTTTGACCATTGGATCAAGAAGGAAAAGTTTAAAGCTCAATTAAGGTGAGGATCGACATCTAGTTGCTTACAACTTGTAGGTTAAGCATGAGATTACCTAAATGCCTAAATAATGTTTTCCATGGATTATGATGATAAATTATTGATGGAATATTGATCTATTTTCCAAAGAATGAAATGGGAAATGATTTGGTAAAGTATAGACAAAAATGGAGTTAAATGAACTATTGTGTGAAATAGGCATTTTACTCATGTGTGAATTGTGTAGATACATAAATGATTATTTATGTATTACATTGAATGATTAAGTTTCTGCTACATATCTCTAAATATGTAGGGTTTTACAAATGGAATATATGATGGATAAGAATAATCTTAAGAGTATTGAAATACTAGTTAATGATTGTTGTAATTGTTAAGGAATTGAATCTAAGGATTTGATTGTAATTGATGAACTTGATTGTGATGCAAGTGACTAAATTGATGTAATGTGATGCTAAGACCATGGTTGGGCAGTCCGTAAGGATGTCCCAAAATAGATTATTGATACTACAATTCTAGGCATAGCGAGTGCTTAGGAATTGGGGTCTATGCCAATGTAAGGAGATGTACTTGAGCCGTGCTCATAGAATTGCATTGGGTAGACATGATGGGGTGATTGTTGTGCATGGTGATGTAGTTGAGTTGGACTCAAGAAATGCACGGTGGAGTAGTCAGCTTATGTCAATTAAGGTGCATGGTGATGTAGTCGAGTTGGACTCGAGAATGCAAACATATGTGTGGTTGAACCCTATGAATTGTTGTGACTAGGGGTCACGGGGTTTTGGGCTATGTTTGATAAACAAACCTTGGGCCTACGGGCCGACTACTTGACTTTATATATAAAGTAAGTATATTTTTAAAAGGGGTAACTTGGGGTTACGGCCTAGATTATATTATCACCCTATTTGAGGGTCTTGTGTTTGAAATACTTGTTGTATATCTATTAGATGCCATCCACACCAGCACTTTATAGCCCTATAGAGTGCTGACCCCTTCGGGGGCGTCCCACCACCATTTTTCAGGTTGAGGCTAGAGCTTGCTTCCTGTGCTCGTTGCTCGAGAGATCATCTAGGAGTGAAGACTTGGTTCGTGCTTCCTCCATTCGGTTTTTAAACATTAATAAACATGCTCATGAATATTTTACTATAGAGCCTGCGTGTTCATGTTTGCCACGTGTGGCATTTGTTTTCAAACTATGTTTTCCGCTACGTATTCGATTGCTTATTATGTTGTTTATGGATGGCTTGCGTGTGAATGATATTCTAGACGCCTTGTATAATATGAATGTGTTGGACTGCGGTTGACTATTCGTATTGTACGGCGGGTTGTTGACGTGTCCGGGGAGGTCCGGGGCGTGACATTTTAGTTTAATAATTTTTTAATTCTTAAATTTTTATTTTGTTTATTTTTTTAAATTTTAAAAGTTTTTATTTTTTAATTTTTGATCTTTTAATTTTTTAAATTTTTTATATAATAACCTCTTTCCATTCACGTAGGAGATGCATAGTTTGTGTTTATCAACACGTTTTCTCCCAAATACCCCGATTTCGGGAGGTTGGGAATGAGAAGAAGTGGAGGATTTTGGAAGTCTTCGACGTTCCTCCACGTCCTCCGTATTTCATTCAATCAAACACACACAAATCACCCATTTTCCTCCCATTCTCTCTGAAATCCTCTAACCAAACATGGCTTAAGAGATCAGATGTGGTGTTATTCTTTTCTTTCTATTTGTATGATTATTCTTTGTATTGGACTATTGGTCATATACACAACATTATTTCTTTTCAGTTTAAACCATTGACACCGGTCAAATTCATCTTTAATTTGGTTGTGTACCTACCTAGCTTCTACTTCTTTGTATTATCCTGTAAGGTTATACGGAGGAATAAATCATTGGTCAAATTCATCTTTAATTTGGCTGTGTACCTACCTAGCTTCTACTCCTTCCTGTTATCCTGTAATGTTATACGGAGTAATTAATCATTGGTCAAATTCATCTTTAATTTGGTTGTGTAGCTACCTAGCTTCTACTCCTCCGTGTTATCCTGTAATGTTATACGAAGTAATAAATCATTGGTCAAATTCATCTTTAATTTGCATGTGTACCTACCTAGCTTCTACTCCTTCGTGTTATCCTGTAATGTTATACGGAGTAATAAATCATTGGTCAAATTCATCTTTAATTTGGATGTGTAAATACCTAGCTTCTACTCCTTCGTGTTATCCGGTAATGTTATACAGAGTAATAAATCATTGGTCAAATTCATCTTTAATTTGGCTGTGTACCTACCTAGCTTCTACTCCTTCGTGTTATCCTATAATGTTATACGGAGTAATAAATCATTGGTCAAATTCATCTTTAATATGGCTGTGTACCTACCTAGCTTCTACTCCTTTGTGTTATCCTGTAATGTTATACCAAGTAATAAAGGAAAATGATGTTTGTACCCACTTTTATACCCACTTTTGTACCCACCCATGTTTGTGATTTTTTTTTTGTCTGTGAATTCCTTCACAGACAAAATATGTTTGTGAAGGAATTCAAAGACATATTTTGTCTGTGAACCAGCTTCACAGACAAAAAATAGCCTTCATAGAGGTGGGTATAAGGTTGGTACAAAGTGGTGGGTACAACAAGCATGGGAGTAATAAATCATTGGTCAAATTCATCTTTAATTTGGCTGTGTACCTACCTAGCTTCTACACCTTCGTGTTATCTTGTAATGTTATACGGAGTAATAATCATTCCACAAAACAAACCAATGGAACCCTGTTAATTACTTTACCATTTATAATGTTTTCTTTTGAATTGTTTTCAGTCTCAAACTAGATCAGATCAGATCAAACAGATCAAACTAGATCGGACCAGACCAGACTCGTACGTAGTTGTAAAAAACACAGAGACTAGACGTTTATTAGATCAGACCAATTGCAACCAAACTAGATCAGACAAGTTCAGACTAAATGATGAGTCTGTATTTAAACACGCATTGGATGCATGTTGGAGTCGGATTTTGATGGTTTTCCTTGCTTTAAGGTATTGCAAGCCTCAATTTTAGCTCAAGTTGTGATTACCAGGCGTTGGGTCGAGTATTGTTGCATTTGGAGTCAAATTAAAGAAGTTAGAGTCTGGCAATCGGCGCTTGAGAGACAATCGGGAGGAGATAGAGAGCATTCAAGAGAGATTTGAGAAACTTGGAGGTCACCGGTAGGATCATGGCAAAGAATGGATGAAGAAATGGTCTTTGGAACGATTATTGAAGCGTCCCGGAGCATTTGGAACAAGAAAAGACAAGTTTTGAGGAGGAAGAGGGCAGGCACGGTCGTGCCTCTCTTTAGGCACGCCGTGCCTGCAGTACAAAAATGTACCTGGTCGATGGAAAGGAAGGCACGCCGTGCATGGCCCTTAGGCACACCGTGCCTAAAGAAGAAATTTGTACCGAGTTGCTGGAATGGCCAGGCACGCCGTGCCTGCATGGAGGCACGCCGTGCCTGGACCCAAAGTTACGAAACACGGGCTTGCTCGGCAGCCACGGCCGTGCTTGACCCCTGGGCACGCCGTGCCTGACCCCGTTTTTAGTCCCCTAATTCAACCCAAACTCATCTTTTTTATAAATAAGGCCTCTATAACCCCATTTCGGGTGTTACGAACATTACGGAGAGGCCTAGGGACGAATTTAACACCGTTTTTACGCTATTTTCTTCCAAGACCCTGAGATTATTTGTAAGTTCATCTTTTTAATTAATGACAATTTATTCTATTCATCTCAATTCTGTTGATTCTTCAATTATGAATTGTGAGTAGTTTAATTAGGGATTTGGGGTTGATGAAGGGGTTAATCATGATTGATGGCTAAATTCCTTTCGCTTTAATTGCATGAATGTCGTTTAATTTGTGTTTGAATAATTTAATTGATATCTCTTGTAACCTAGACTGCAGCTAGAATTACAATTGCATGTAAAATGAATTAAGAGAGATCTAATTTGTTCTAGGACACATTCACACACACTTAATCGTTCGCTAAGAGATTAGTAGCGATTAAGGGGTCGTAAGCTCGCTCGTCTTGGCAATAATTTAGAATCCTGTCGCATGAGAGATCAGCCTGGTCCCCTAAATTATTGTACTCTACGCCGCGAGAGCGGTAAGAACCTAGTAATGATTAGCAAGGCTCAATTAAATTAAATTCATGTAATTAGGCTTGATCTGCCAGGAATCTGGTTACCCCGGAATCAATCCCTATTCCCTTCGTCGTTAATTGAGAAGAAACCAATCTTTTATTTTTATCGCTCATTAGCATTAGTTTTATTTTACTCAACCAACCAATCTCGCACAATTGCATTTTATTTTATTTATTTCTTTTTAATCGCTGAATTTAGTTAATCTTTAATTCCCTTTTGTCCGTCCCTGTGGAGACGATACTCGTACTTTCAACCACTTTTCTACAACCATTTTTAGTGCGAGAAAACACTCATCACTAAACCAGACCATCAAATTGGAGTCCAAAAGAAAACAGAAAACATGTACTCCCTCCGTCCCAAAAACAACTTCACAGTTTGACAATCACACAGATTATGAAAATAAATTTGACTTTACTGTAGAGTGCACTGGTTTGCACTGTTTAAACAATGTTTGACACTGTTTGGACTTGTTTTGATGTAAATAATTTTCTAAATAAGGAAAGTATTGAAGTATAAAATTAATATTGGGACATACATTTAAAGAAATTGAGAAGTTGTTTTTGGGACGGAGGGATTATATATTTACTCCCTCCGTCCCATTTTGGTTGTCCTACTTTCCTTTTTGGGTTGTCCCAAAATGAATGTCTTGTTTCCTTTTTTGGCATGAAATATGTGGTTCTTATTAATTCACTTTATTCTACTCAAATCTCAACCACAACTTTTACTTTTCAACCAATTTATTAATAATCGTGCCAAATTGAAAGTGGACAATCATTACGCGAGAGGGGAGTATATGAATAAACTTTGGAGGATATGATATGGTTCCATTACAATTGAGAAGACTTAAAGTCATTTTGCAATCACGTATGGGGCTTAGGATAAGGTGCAGAAGGTTGGTTACTCGTAGTTCGCGCGAGATAAAGAACTTTTGAAGAATCCGTCTGATCAATTTTCTACTCCGTATCTTATTGGTTGGCTGTGCAAACATAGCCTTCTCCAATCACCTCCATACACCGACGCCATGAAGGAATGGGCATAAATCACGTGTCCCTCAACCATTAGCTGCAGCCTGCAGAGGATAGGATAATTCATTTTGTAGCCAGTTTCCATTACATTTTTATGGAGAAAAAATGAGTTGAATTGGCCGGTGTATACTGTAGTAGATCCTGTTATCTTGATCTGCTAAAATTGCCGATATGTGTTAAGGAAATTTATTTAAGTTCATCGTTATTTTATTCCTTTTAATTTTAAGTGTCATCCTGTAGATTTTGTAGCACCCAAATGTATACTACCTACTAGTTCACTGCAATAGTTTTGGACACATTATTTAATGATGAAATAGTTGGGGTAATGAAAGTGTAGAAAAAGTAGGAGATAGTGTGTAAAAGTATGAAAAGTAAGATAAAAAGTAGAAAAAGTAAGGATAGTTGAGTATTTTTAAAAGGGAAAACTTACTAAAAATGAAAAATGTAACAAACTTTTAAATACATCCCAAAAAGGAAAATGTAGCAAACTTTTAAATACGGAAGGAACATCATTAATGGTCACAGAAAATAAATCTTAACGATTCCCCTTTTGTAGCATTTTCTTCATGCTTTTATTGTTCGGAAAATGTTTAAGATGTGATATGGAACATGAATAAATGTCAGGTTTAGGATCTTTTTACTTGGTCTGATCTGGTCTAAACTGATCTATTTTGATCTGGTATGGTAAATATCAGGCCTTTGCATATTTTATAATTGTTCAAGTCTAATCTGGTAAGGTCTGATCTGATTTGGCCTGATTGGTCTTTTTCTAAAACTAATGTTAAACAAAAAAATATTTCCCAGAATATGGTTCGGTTAAAAGTATTTCCCAAAATACTGTTCCCTTAATCCCAGTTAAAAGAACCACCACTTGAAGTGGCGACTTATGCAAAACCGAGTTTGATTTTCCTTTTTATGCAAAACCGAGTAACACTCAGTAATGCGCTTGGAACCGGTGGGCGTAGCTCAACTGGTAGCAAGGGAGTGCCACAAGAGTTAGGTCTCGGGTTCGAATCCTGGCAACTGCGATGAGGGGTTACTATGCTGAAAAATGCATATGGCCTCTGCAAGTACCGGGGAAAGAGCCTCACTCTCTATCTGTCAGATTGTGATTATAGTTCAATTTACATCCTCCCATCGTGTCGTCCGGTCGGTGGTGGGGGGCCCCTCAGGGATGGGGTGTCATCGGAAACAAGCCAAAGCAAGCAATGCATGTTGTAATATTGAGCTAGGGCCCCACAAAAATAAAAATCCCATTTTTATTTCAAACTGATATAATCTTATTTGTACTCAGATCATTACAAAAAAATATACCAGAATTCGTAACTTTTTATTATCTTTCATATGACATCAATTTTGAATATATAAAAATTAAAAAACAAATACTTTAAAAATGTCCTTTTTTTTCTAAATGATACATCTTTTTATGTGTACTCCGACTGTAACAAAAAAATATCTACAAATTCATAATTATTTATTATCTTTCATACGATACCAATTTTGAATATGTAAAATAAAAAAATTAATTCTATTAATTTGTGCAGTTTATGATATTTTTTACTGGGCACACAAATAATCAGCAATAATAGATTAGAATAATGATGTTTTTTTTGGACTGTAATTGACTGGTCTAGTCTGATCTGATCTGTTTACGCTTGATCTCATCTGTTTAAGTAGGGTCTGATCTATTTATCTTTGGTATGATCTGATCTGGTCTGGTACTCAAAACAAGTCAAAAGAAAATATCCTAAAACTACACAAGGAATAAAACAATAAATAAAGATGATAGAAATTGTGAAGTTTTATTTTAAGCTATAACTCCAAATAAATGTGGCATTGTAAATAATGATTCTAAAATGCACAAATTAGCAAAAATGATTTTTTGTTTTATATATTCAAAATTAGTTTCTTATGAAAGATAACAAAAATTTATGAATTTTAATACTCCCTCCGTCTCGAAAAGAACTTCCAACTTTCCCTTTTCGTCCGTCCAAAAAAGAACTTTATTTTCCTTTTTTGGCAAAGAATTTGTGGTTCACAACATTTATCTCTCCTCTGCACACAATAATTCCCACTTTCTTAATCAGTGTGCCACTTTATTTTGGAAAAACATTTAGGGACGGAGGTAGTATATTTTTTGTAACCATGAAGTACAAATAAAAAAGATATAACATTTACAAAAAAAGGTGTTAATTTTTTTATATATATATTCAATATTGGTGTCATATGAAAGATAATAAAAAGTTATAAATTTTGATGTATTTTTTGTAATGATTTGAGTACGAATAAAAAAGTTATATCAGTTTGAAATAAAATGTGTTTTTTTTGTGGGGCCCTAGCTCAATATTACGATGTCAGTTACTTGCTCTGGCTTGCTTCTGCGTGTGTTATTCGGTTTCACATAAGCAGCCACTTGAAGTGGCGGTTCTTTTAACTTGGATTTAGAGGAGCAGTATTTTGGGAATTATTTCTAACCTAACCTTATTTTGGTAAATATTATTTTATTTAACATTAGTTTTGGAAAAACTCTATATCTGGGACTGAAAAACAGTCCAAGTAAAAAATGCCTTGAATAGGAGTAAAAACGTTTTGAAATTCCAAAATAGGACATTCACGTTTTTATTTTTTAAATAGAGTAATTCCTGCCAAGTTTGAAAAAAACTTGGAAGAAACAGTGATATTTAAAGCCTGATAGTGTTAAATTTGACAAAAATTACTACATGTGTACGCGATATCAACTTTTAAACTATTACTTAAATTTTGTGTTTCTAGGAGTTGTTAAGAATTTTTATCTTTCTTCAAATAAGTAAAAAAAATGCCGAATTAAAAAATAAGTAAACTATTACTATATGCTGGTAAAAAACCCAAATAAGTAATGATTTTTAATTCAAATAGAAAATTTAAAAAATATGCAAGAAAGAAATAACTCGACTAAGGAGTGATAAATTGAGGTTACCTGCCGAATTAAGGATTTAAGATTGTGTGGATAGGTTTTTGATGAAAGATAAAATTCTTACCAACAACTACTAGAAACACAAAATTTAAGTAATAGTTTAAAAGTTGATATGGATTTTTTACAAGAATATTACTAAAATAAACCTATTTACATAAATATGACTATTCATTACTACAACGTAGTATTGTAGTAACTTAATTTCAAAACTTGAACATGAATTACTATGATTTCATTACTAGTCTAGTAACTAATCATATTTTTGTAAATCATCTTTATTTTAGTCATATTTATGTAATTATTTCTACTTATTTTCAAATAAATTGCTTGTAATAGATTTCTTTCATGCAACTTTAAATTGACCAGTAAAAATAAAAAGAGAGTGTAGTATGTTATTAAACAAAAAGAGAGTTTGTTTTAAACGTTTATGCGTACTTAATCTAAAATATTATAATGGTGAATGAAAGTAATGGTATTTTTGCCATTAAAAATAGTATGAAATAGATGCATCTTCAAGCAAGCACTATTTTATGGAGTACTAAGGAATATAAAA